GTCACGTGCCTCGCTCCGATCGGTTCGCCAAGGGACCGTAGCTTTCGCAGGTTGCCAAGCTCCAATGGTGGTAGAGACGGAGTCGGTAACGAGGAATCGATGCCAGGACGCCGACCACCACCCCCGAGGCCGCTGGCCCCGTTTAAAGCGCCCCCCTTTGCAGGTAAACAAACAACGGGGGTGACGTCAGCGGAGCCAATTTCCGCTCGGCACGACGTGCGAGCTTCGGCCGACGCCGCCGTGTTGACGCCTGTTGGTCGCGGCGCACGCTCACAACGCCCGCCGGCCGTTACCATGCCCAGTCGATGATTGGGAAAGCCGATTTCCGCCCAGAAGTGAAAAGCCGGCAACGAAGAGGCCTCTACTCTTCAAGCTCGCGGCTTTGCACGCTTATGATTCCCCATGCACATCTGCGTAGGGCAGTACAAAAGTAATGCCTCCCAATTTTCTTTTTCTCGCAAGGAGTGGCGTTTTTATGAACCGCATTAAAAGACCTTTAACAGAGAAATATTTTTCCCCCAGCGAGGCGATCGAATAGGGTGTCGATACACAATCAATATTTCCCTGCAGAATCAATCCCGCCAAGAAAAAAAAAAAAAGGAAAGTTAATTTGAAATTGCGGAGGAGTGCGACGTTGTCGGAGCGCTCGGTGGTGTTCTAGTCCTCTCTTACATTTCTATCTTTTTTCAAGTGTTCAAACATGATTTTGAGTTACATCTAAACCACATCTTCAGTTTGCCTAAATGATCCCCGTGCTTTTAAGCTGTAGTTCTTTGCAGCCTTAAAGTTTACTAGGATACAGTTCAACTCATCATCGTCCAAAACAACGGCATCTCCCGACTGTTTCCTTCCATTTTCGGACAAAACAGGGACGCCATTCTTTGTGAGACGACGTGCCGAATCTGAGCATCACAATTCGCGAAGCCGAAGCCAACACGGCAACGGCACAGGTGCGAGTATCGAACGTCTAGCCTGAATCAATTTGTTTCCAGGCGCCTGACCCGTCTGGCGAAGTCATTGTGAAGTCACCGACGCCATCTCAGAAGTCCCACAAGCGCGACGCCATTCGTACGTCTCGTTCGTTCAGCACGAACCGTTTCCCTCGCTAGGACGGCTCGCGGAAATTTGACCCTCAAATGGAGCACCTAAATTCGGCTACTTTCGGTTAAGATTTTACAGCCATCGCATAAAACAAGTTGGAGCACATGAGCTTGGTTTCATCTAACCCTATTTCAAAGAGAAGTTTTTGCAAATTAACGCATTTCCCCTTGAAAGTTCCGCGTTTAGGAAAGTGCGCTTCGGCGAACGTCGCCCGCACATAGCGAACAGGAACTCGGCCGCTGGTATCAACAAACCAGAGCGACCATCGAGCGATGGTTGGCTGAAAGGGAAAAACTAATTTGATGAAACCATCGGTCTACTTCGCAAAATGTAAACTGCGTTCCTACGAAAAAGGGGTTCAACGAAGCGCGGTTTCTATAAAACGGCGAGCCCTAAGTGACTTCCGGTGGAATGGAAGCGTCCTTCCCAAGTGGCTCTTGCAGCCAAAAATAAACGCTAAATTAAATACGACGAAGTAAAGTCTGGCTGCGGCTTCGGAAAGACGTATATCCCATTTCAGAATACGGATTTTGTTTATACACTGCAGACGGGTAAATGCCGCCGGTTAGGGCAGACGGGCACCTCGAAGGCATATCTTGTTTTCTACGGAGGTTATATAGATGAAACTGACAACGTTAAATCACGACCCAAGTGCCAGCAATCTCACGAAAGCTTGCTGCTGTGTGCCGACGTTAGATAGATCGGCACGATCTTTATCCAGATTCAATTCCGTTGAATTTTGCCAATTTTCCGAGTAGCAGTTAACTTTCAAGTCCACACAAGCGACTTATTAGAGTAAGCATGTTAAGAACATGATAGCTTAATCTGGCACTACAAGAAACACAAAGAGCGAAAAACAACCATTTTCTTTCAGAACGACTGGTTGACTGTTGTCCTCTGTGGTTTGACTATTTACAAATTAAGCATGCAACTCGTACGTGCACTGCCTCGCAAATAAGACAAAATCTATCAAACCGTAATTGCTTATGTAGACAATAATACGAACAGCATTTGGTTCCTTATGCGACAACGTTGTTTACCTGATTCTTGCTGTGATCTGTTTTGCCGTGCCTCGTCATTTCGTACCTAATCATTTAAAAAGCCGCTAAAAAATGTTTATTTTTTTTAATCAAACTGTTTGGTTGGGACATGCGGGTCAAAAAATAAATTTTACGCGTTTTTTTTTGTTTTTTTTTTTTAGAGCAGTATTGACGGCGAGATTTATTTTATTTGAAATTCTGCGAGCAGAGTCCATGACGTCACGGGTCATTCCGGAATGACCATCTCGGTCGTGAAGGCAAAGCCGATCCACCTCTCCTCCACGCACAAAAAAAAAAAAAAAAAAAAAAAAAAAAAAAAGTTTTTGTGTAAATTTTTTTTTTTCGCGTATCCCTTTCAAACTGCTAAGAAAAACACTTTTTTTTCTTTTTAGGGGTTCTTTAATAGGAATTATTACTTACAATACAGTCATCTCGTTACATTATTTCAAGTTTGATTCTTAACACTCTTTTTTCTAGACACATCAACATACACATGCCCTGCTTTTTTTTTTTTTGTATTTCATATACGGTAAATTATATTTAACACCCTACAAATTCGCTTGTGAAACAATTTTTTTTTTTTAATCTGAGCGCAACAATTTACAATTTTCATTTCAGCAAAAAAAGAAAGAACACGGCTTGCGGTATTAAAAATGTACGAGAATAAATCTATGCGTGATTTCGATCGCCTTCTGTCGTGATGTCAAGGCAGATTCGCTGCTGGTACAGCTTTGCTTCCTCGGCGAGCACAGAGCAGAAATTTCCACGCGTGGACCCGGACCTAGGCGAGAGTGCTCCGAGCCGAGTGGCAATCGAGCTGGTGGACTGTCGCTACCAGTTCATACGACTATAGTCCATACTCCGCGACAACTTTTCTTGGCAATGGAGTGGAAGGTAGAGGCCCGCGTCCCCTCTCCCATTTTGAGTGTACGCAGGCTCTCCTCCTCTCCTCATTTCCGGGGAGAGGAGGAGAGCCTGCGCACACTCAAAATGGGAAAGGGGACGCGGGCCTGTACCTTCCACTGCATTGCCAAGAAAAGTTGTCGCGGAGTATAGAGTGCAAGCAGCTGTGCAGTCTACGCAGAAGCAGTCCCTCCAGGTTGAAACCTGCGCCCGGTACCCGTCGGCGACCCGCTGGCTTGTCATATTGTTTACAAAAAGAGGCAGTCATCAGTGGAGCCTTTCAACGTGTTTTCCCGTACAACATATAACAATGGCTCTCGCTTCATCGACTCTATCATTGGCTGTATGACAAGGGGGAGAAAAAGGTTTGAATACTGGTGACTAACCCTTTTTATATCGAGAGATCAGTGCTGAAATGTGAACCTAGTTGCACCCAGGAGAGGGCATCGTCTCAAGCGGTTAGTTTGTTTTCATCCCTATCCAAGTGAAGAGAGTCATGGCCGAGATAAATTAAGGATTTTTCAACAACGACAACGCCCACAGCTCACCGGAAACACCCCCGAGCAACCGAGCGCTGATTTTGCCAACACTAGAGAGAGAAAAAAGTAATTGTTCAAGCTATCCCACAATGGAGAACAAAAGATTAACTTGTAAGGTCGTGGAATATGTGCATCTACGCAGTGAATTTAAATCTGGTCGTCCGTTTGCGATGTCCGGCATTGACACGCGAAGGAACATTCAGAAAGGGAACATCCCCCCTTTTTTCTCTCTCTGTCTCTCTCACTCAATCTATTTCTCCGCCGTTGTGCAGTAAAAGGACAGCTGTGAAATCATCTGCGCAAAACCATCTTGGCTTACTGTAGTGTGCGACACATGTGCAGGCACGACGTGACCCAGATTTCCTGTGCTGGAACGACGGCGGAAGGCATGAGACTCCGGACCTAACACGTGATAACGAAGCTAAGTAGATCTCTTGGACCCAAAATAAAGCAACGACAAACGCTCATGTCTACCACTCACTCCCTTGGATAAGTAAGTAGGCCGTACCAGATGATGTGGATCTCACTCACCGGTTAACTTGCAAACGTTTTTTACCTCTTGAAAATAAATAAATCAATAAAAAAGTAAAAATAAAAAAAAAACATTCTTTTTCTTTTTTTTAAAATTTATTTATGAGAATAAGAAGAAATAAATAAAATCTCTTTATCTCAAGTGCGTGTGCGCCTATCTAGCCGTTCAGATAAAGCGGGGGGACGGTTTGAAGAGGGTTCAACAGACTCGTCTGTTCAAAGTCGGCGCCTCGGAGGGATGCAAGCGCGCCGGTTTTTCCGCCTTCGTATCCTTGTGCGCGTTGCCTTCGCGTTCGCAATACGCTAACATCGGCTGTCTACAATCAAAAAAAGAGTCAAACACGGGGAATAAAAATAAATAGGAAACATCCGGAAGATTAACTCGAGTAAAATAACATGGAAGACCAACACTAATCCACTAGTTCCTGGTAATCACGCCGTTTTGATCGGTGTTCACGCCCGCAAACGCGCTCTAAACTGCGACGCACCACTAAAGAACGAAAAAAAAGCGAAACACGAAAATTTCGGTAGCAGCAGGTATGTACCCTTGATGAGAGCAAGTTCGGTGCATCGCTTAATTTAAATGCTCGAATAACGAATAATACGGTTAATCCGCAATCGAGCGCAATTCGGTTCCAATCCGAAACCTTACCACACTCGGAAGCGCGTTAGAATCCCGGATGCTGAGTCAGACTGACAGAGACGAGAGTAGAAAGAGACTCACGAAAACAGAAGAAGCGAAAAAGATTAAAAGAGCGTCTCGGTGTTGATCGCGTTGTGTAGGGTCACGTAGGGTCACCCCTCCCCTCGGAGTTTCTTTTTTAAGTGGGAGGAACTCGGAGCCTCCGACTCGAGCTTCGTTCCGACAGCGTTGGAAGAGGCCTACCTCTGAAGGGAGTGGTCCTCCGCATCTTTGGGGAAAACTGGAAGCTCCCGGAGAGCGGGAACCCGCGATCGGACAGTTTGGGCCCGGCATCTTTGGCGCTGGTGTTGGTGGGACAGCCCGGCACCGGGCACAGAGACTCGCAAGCGTCCGCGTCGAAGCCCGTCCGGTACGCGGGGCACAGTCCGCTGGCCAAGAGCAGCAAGAGCGCCAGCAGCTCGGACCCAGGGATCGACATCGTCGTTCTTTTGCGACCACGGCAACCCCCGCACAGCACCCGAACACGCCCCACGTTTAGGCGGTAGATCGAATGATCTCTCCGTCCGCACAAGATAGCACGAACGGCAACGGCGGCAACACGGCAACAACGGAACGGATGGAACGGAATCGCACAATCGCGTTTGTTATGCTGTGTGGAGATACACATACACTTTTCTGTTGAATTGGGTGGAGACGCGCGCCATCTAGTCGGCATTACTTTCAATAAATGCATTGCGAGGCGGCAAGTCCTGCAAGTCTGTCATTGGTGTTTGAAGCCTTTGAAGTGTTTCGAAACCATCCAAGGAAAGCGAAGACGCACCGGTGATGAATAAGATGAATGTGAACTTGGGCCCGTTATGGCTTCCTGAAGTATATTAGAATGTGTACATATTTCAGAATCCCCTCCATAGAGGGACCTAGTGGTCCTACAGTCATATGTTTTTGTTACAACTACGGTTGGAAGCTACGTGCCCGCCGGACAAATCAGCCGCCTCCCACTTATCACCTGACCCGGCTCTCCGCACGTGGAGCGTGAACACGTGGCGAAGGAGACGCGTATGACTAGTTTAACAAGGACGTAGCTTCCACTGCAGTCTCAGCTTAGGGGTGAACATAGTCTAGTGTGTGGTGGTGCGTGTGCGTGCACGCGCGTGTAATGAATAGTTCACCTATGTCATACGCGCGTGTAATGAATAGGTCATTTATGTCAAGCGTACATTTGACCACACAAAAGCATCCGCCAGATTATTTTTTTTTTTTTTTTATATAGCGAAGTGTATTATTACTAGGGTTTCGCGGATTTTTTATGTGCGCCAACAAAAACTCTACGCTCGCACCGCGCGCGTGCAAAATGCCGTTTGTTTTAGGCTTTTGCTTTAGAATACTTGTTTAAAACAGCCACTGTTGCAGACGGGAGGCACCACTGATCTCTATGACAATAGAGATCAGTGGGAGGCACTCACTTGATCGAATGACGTTTTAGCGAACGCCCACGTTTCATCGAATGACACTTTAGCGAATAGTCGGACGCCGCGAAGCGGCGTTTTCGGGTGGGCCAAGTGAGTTCGTATTTTTGTAGTTAGTTGCCGCAGACTGTCGCCGCGAAGCGGCGTAAAGCGCAGCGCGACGGATGGGTTAACGCGCGTCCCCGTTATTCGCTAAAACGACCATTCGCTCAAATGTCGCCGTTCGCTAAAATGTCATTCGCTCTTGTGATATGGACCCGTCTATTCAGTAGGTTAGTTATCTATAGGCACCATTTTTCAAGATCAGTAGACTCTCAGGTCGATAATAAAGGTTTGTCAAAGATTTGCCGCTGTGCGACCCGCGTCGGCCATGTCTACACTCGCACAGCCCTCTCGTCGTCCCAAGCGCTTGCGTGCCTTGTCTCCTTCTCTTCCGCCCTCCCAGGGTGGCGATCCCCTCGCGCGTGTCTAGTTTTCTCCGGCTCCCCAGGCGGTGATAGTCGTTCACGCGAAATAATGACCACCGATCAAAATAAACGTGTTTCTAACTTTGTTCAAAATTCTGCGTCACGTCTGTGTCGTGTGCTACACAGCTTCACTGGTCATCTACCTTCACAGGGTGGAATGGCTCACGATTCTTTATATGTTTGCAATATTTGAATGAAAATGTGCAGATTGGTGATTGATCTCCTTTTTATAAATCTGGTGTTAGTTTTGAAGTAGCCCGCTTTTTTATGTTCTAGATGCAATGCACATTCACAAAATTCGGCAGAGACTTACAGGGGCACTCAAGTGGACTCTGAGATCGTCTATTTATTGTGGTAACTCAATCTATAGACTAAACAACCTAAAAAAAAACGAAATTGCATTCAAGAGCAACTGATTTCCCTATTAAAAATCCAATCAAAGATTGTGCCACGCTCCCCTTTCTGCGACACGGCACAGAACACCTGGGGGCCCTGGGGGCGCCACCAGAGTGGAAGGCAGCAGGGGAGGGCATGCGTCATCCAGTCACGGGTGACGGCTTCTCAACAGACTAAATTTTCGAATACCCACAAATTCGAAAAATCAGTCTGCCGGGTAGTCGTCACTCGTGATTGGCTGTCACGTGCCCTCCCCTGCCGCCTCTTTCCGTCCAGTGGCAACCCCTGGTGTTCTGCGCTACGATGCAAAAGAGAGACGTGGAATGATCTCTGATTGAATTTTTAATAGGAAAATCTAGGGTGCCTCAATGTCTTTCTGTTTAGGGTGATGCCACCCTTTGTAGTACCCGATGCCGACAGCACGCGCTCACGGGGAAAATACAAAGAAATCGACGAAAACAAAATGTCGCCGTAGCACAGTCAGCGCCACAAACGCGTGCAGGGACACGCTCTTTCATGCGCTTCTGAACAAAAAAGAAAAATAAACGTGTGTGACAAAATGGCGAGATGCCACCACCCTAAGCAAAGCGCACATGAAGGCACCCTAGGAAAATCGGCTGCTCTTGAATATGATTTCGGGTTTTTTAGGACGCTTAGAGTTCGTAGATTGAGTAATGACAATAAACAGACAATCTCAGAATCCACTTGAATGCCCCTTTAAGGCTGCCGACGTGTAGGAATGAGAAAGCATTCCTGCACGCAGCACATTCTTACAAGCAGCGCGCCATCTTCCTTTTTCACACGGTGCTCTGGCGACATCACGCTCCCCCACTGCGCAGGCGCGGTGAACCCCGCCAGCTCCACGGCTTCCATGACGATGCATCTGCGTTGCTGCGCTTTTGCCCAATGGTAATTCAGGTGCCATTTCGCTCAGCCAATAGGAATTTAGGTGCCATTCTTTGCTGCCACAGACGATGCCGGCTTGCTCCATGGGACAGGCAATGCTTTCACATTAGAAAAAAGAAAACGTTCAGCGTGCACATGGCAACACACTTAACAGAGCCTAGTACAATAGAGCAATTTTATCCTTTTAAACCACGGAGTGCAATATTTAACAGAAATGGTGTGTATGAAAACTCTTTTTTTAAACAAGTAAAAATTGCAAAAGCACCATTTTCAAAGAGTTAACGAGACTTTTTTTAAATTTTCATAATTATAAATTTTTACATTCTAATTACACCTTGACAGTTATATTCTACACGCCCTGAAGTTCATGCATGCCAAATTTGGTTGTGGTAGGACAATATTTGGAACAAAAAGTCTGCCTCGCAAACTGCAAAAACGCCCTAAAATTGAAAAAAAAAAAAAATAAAAGGAAGTGTTCAATTTATTTTATAAATATGTAGCAACACTCACTCCGCCCAAAAAAATAATTGATTGTTATACTTTTGCAACAAATTGAAGCTTCAAAATATTGCGATGAAGAGATTTGACCGCACACATGAACTGGGCTTATAAAATGCGTCTGGGTGGCCGGGGGACCTCAAATGTGAACTTGATTAATTTTGCAACCATATTTTGTTATTTTTTTTCTTCTATACATTAAATATGAAGAGTTAAAAATAACACATCTGAAAGCCGAAATCACATTTTTTTGCAAAATATTGCAGTTTTTCGACCCACACCTTCCCTTGGGACACACTCGTGCAAAAGCCAAATCAAGGTTTGTTCATTTACCTTTTTATTATCAGGATCAGAAAACATGCACCATACTGCTGTCGCAATAAGTTAAAAGTATACAGGGCGTTTTTTTCTCTTCTTTTTAAGCAGAACAGCTTCGTTTAAAAAAAAAGTCGTGAAAGCTAGACTTATACAGTTTGTGCAGGTGAGTTAGTATACGGCGAGGGGGACAAAGTACAGGGGTGCTGAGCGTGACAATCAATCAGCTAATTAAGCACAATTTGTTAATCAACTTCCTAATTATTGAAAATAGACATGGTTCCAATTAAAAACTTGCTTTAGCGCAGCAGTCCGCTCAAGTTACCACTCCTGCAACAGCAGCAAAGCTACCGTTGCGATAACGTGCCCGCACATTTTTTCCCTCTTATTATAGCCCAAGCCTTGCACCTGTTTCGCGAGTAGCATCTTTAGCGCACTACTTCGCTTCCCACGCACTCAAACCCTTTCTAAAAATCGTTTATTTAGTGGTTTTCGATAATGCTCGCCAAGTTCCTAATCAGAACCATGCGTCCGTTTTCACTAATTAAAACGTTAACAAATTTTACTTAATTAACCGACTGGTCGTTAAGTTTAGCCCCCTATATCGCGTCCCCCTGGCTGTATAACTCACCTGCACAAACAACATAAGTGTAGCTTGACAACTGTTTTAAACAATTTAGTTAAGCTTAAAAACACCTTGTATATGACACGCTAAAAGCGTCATGGCCTCTGGAGAAGTAAAATACCAGTCCTTTGGTTGAAATGCTTACAAATGAAAACGCATATGGTCGTAATCCATACGAGGGCACGAGATTGTCTGCCTCTCGTAATGGCAGTGCCATAAAGCGGCGGCAGCTTGCGCGCCTCGCAAACCAAGAGCGGCAAGACGCGCAAGCAGTCATAGCCACCGATCTATGGCGCTGCCAGCACGGAGCAGTTGATGAAGCAGGTTCACCTTCGTACGGACAACTGTACATCTCCCACATGAAAGGAGAGGACAACCCACCAGCAAACACACATTTGTACTTGAAAGCTATTACACAATTGGAAACGAGAGATCGAGCCACGTGGAAGACAATCTATGGGAAAAGTTTTACGAGTCATTTCTTCCCTAAAGGACAGCTTCGTGAGAAGGCATTTCGTCTGCTAAACACAATGGGAAAAACATAGGCGACGTTCACCAAACAACACGCTTGAGCAATTGTAGCGTTTCCAGTTGTGCCGGTTCCAGGCAGAAAAAAGGGTCCCTTCAAGAGAAGTCCATGAGGTTCCCCACTGGGCACTTGACTGGCTTCGGCCTCAAGTGGTGTCCACCCCTGATGTTCTAGAGGGTGGCAAAAAGGGTGGAAAAAAACAGAAACGCTGAATTCCATCACTCGACACAAGCACATTGATGCATCTGCAGCCCCGCAAAAACAGCCGAGATAGAAACCCGAGGAGACGCTTTATTCAGCCTCGCGCCAGTGGCGCACCAATTTTGGGGATTCGAACCCCCAAAATTGGTGCAATTTTGGGGGTTCGAAATTTGCCGTAATGCAAAGTTAAGGGTTTAACTTTGCATTACGGCAAAGTTCAATCTTGAGCCCTGCGCATGGGCTTGGGAACAACACGAAAGGCCAGACCCGACCCAGCACGGCCTGCGGGCTGGGCAGAGTTGCACACATGTTCTCGCCATTGCTCGCACTTGTAGAAAATTTTGTTTTAGGATCGGGGTTGGGCAGTAGCATGGCACATGTTCTAAAATTTTTAGAACAAAATATGTCATCAGCTTTGTCCTTCAGCTTTGAAGGAAATAGAAAAAAAAAAAAAAAAGTACAATCTCACCACATGTTGCTCAAAATAAAGAAGAGAAATGAAAAGTATAGTTTTTTGGGGCTTGAAAACCCGACATCGCAAACATCTTCAAAAACACGGCCATACGTTAAAAAAGAGGGTGCCAGCACTAGAAAGGGCATAAAAGCAAGGAGAGAAAAAAAAAAAAAAAGAGCGTCTGTAGTGGTAGTGCGGGGTGCCTGGCCACCCCCCTCAGTCTTTCAAGGTCTTTCCTTCATTTGTCTACAATTTTGCCTTTTTTTGCAGCAGAGCTCGGTCTACACTCCCATTTCATCTTGCGCTGGACCGCAGCAGGCTCTACATGTCATTCCAGCCAACCCAGGGCGGCAAACGTATCACGTGATTTCATTCCCCGAGCATCACTGCTGCTCATCTCCGCAAGGTCACGCGAGATTGAATGGGTCGTGGCGTCTGCTGCAGTCCATCGTAAGGTAAAATGGAGTATTTACCAAGCAGGAAGAGTCTTTCGAGTTTATCCTTCTACCCTACGCTCGTTTCCAAAACAAGGAGGTTCTTTTGTCTTAACGCCTGTGCCTGGGGCAAGCAACGAAATGTCCCGTTTGGGGAAGTCAAAAAAGGCCCTCGCCGACTTTGATCTGCGCTCCCCGTTTTTGCATCGACGGCGTCCCTCGTGTGGAGCTGTCTGGACAACATAGCGGAGGAAACGGACACTGGAGGTTGCATCCGGCCTTCAAAGTCGTGGCGCGGTTGCGGGAGCGCGTAAAAGAATGCCATTGTCGGCTTCTTTGCTGCATATCTTTTTTTAGCCGTTTCTAGTTAGCTATCTCCCCTTCCCCCTCCAGAAAATACCAAACAAAACTAAACTGGGTTTGAATTTGTGAGGTGTCGTCTGCTATCACCGGTGCACGAGGAACTGTTTGCCTCAGTCGCGAAGACGACGCCTCTGGTGTCCGAATGCCGCACTCTGGACCCGTATGGAGGGCAACGACGACGCCGTGCGGCAACGTTTAACCACGGACCCCCCTCCCAGAGAGTGCTGGCCCCCGAAGGCCTGCACGTGCGGCAGAGGTGGACAGCGGGCTCCGGTGGCAGACCGCCCACATTGGAGACAAAGGCTCCTGCCTGTCTGGCGTGCGACAGGCGGCACAATGGGAACGATTGTAGAACAAAAAGGAGGCCCTCTTGATGCGTGACAAGCAGCCTCTCCATTCGTCGAGATTTTGATGGACCCTTTCAACAAGCCCAGAGTTATTTTATGTGGATATTGTTGACTTTCTTCTCTCCATCTCGGTCTTCCTTCGTATCGCTACCTCATTCTCTACCTCCACATCCGTATCTCTCTTTCTCCATTTTCATTTTCATTCTCTATCATTCTTTCAAGCCCATCGAAGCATTAAAACTGGTTGTGCGCCGATGCCGTCCACTCTCTGCAACCTTTTTCTGAGCACGACACCACCAGAAGCTGCCTGAAGCGACAGTCAAATACGATGCTTATCTGCTTCTCAAAGAAGAGTCGAATTTGGATTCAACGGACTTTGCATCAACGCCAGAATGTGCAACTCCAAGCATTTGCGAACCGGTGATTCGGAAACGCTATCGTCTTCAGCACAATCATCCAATCATCCAATCAATCCGTCAGTGCCGAGCATTTTCCAATCCCTTAAGTCACTCATCCGAATGACCTCGGGAACTACGCCGGTAAGTCGGTAAGTGGGACTATTTCGGAATCTTTACCCTTCCGTTGCCCAAGCTTGTGTGCTGAATTCTTCAGATTAGATCACAATTTATAATTATTTAAGAGTAATGTTTTAAATGTTTTCTCGTCTGTCCCTCTGGGTATTTAGGTCAATGATTTCAATAATTTTCAGGTAAATGCATAACTGGAATTGGCTTGGTTTTTTTTTGGACTACCTAAATTACTTTTGCCTCTAGATAGCAGTTTTCTTCTCAAACACAATGGCCATGGGCAACACGGAAATACAGCCCAGGGAGGACACGTGGTTGGCTCTCAAAGCTTGCATTGGGTTGTACGAGCCGTAACTTTTGTCGTCTGCGAAGTTACGTGGGGCGGAGTAGACGGTAACCAACTTGGCTTTCATAAAGACCCAAGTTTCGCCAATTTCGCAATTTCAAAATAATCACGAAAAATTTGTCCCGCAAATAATTCAGCTCACGGTAATGACTACACCATGGATAACGAAAATTTGTATCAGCAAAAAATTCCCTAACTGGTTGATTTCTGAATTGCATGTGCAGCACTGCAATCTCAACACAGCATGTCGAAGTAAGGTTATTAATTGCTTGGAAATAAATAAATGAAAAAAATTGCATAACTTTCTTAACCTGATCATAATGTAAAAACAGCGCAAACAAACACGGATGAAGGAGAAGAAACACTCAGCCGGTACAAGCGCTGACTCGCAACTGAAACTTCATTACTTCAAAAAGGAAAAAGAAGAAAAAAAAAGAAAAACATTAACTTTCTTAACCCTTCTTCGGCCCGCCCCAGCTGCTATCAAATTTTCTAGAGATCCCCCCCCCCCCCCTCAGACGAAAATTCTTGGTGCACAAATACCTTGTGTCCCCCCCCCCCCCCCCCCCCCATCTCACTTTAACGGCTAAAACTATCAAGTTAACACTAATGAATGCCAGATATTGAAAAGCAAGAGGAGGAAACCAAAAAGAGGGGATACACGTCGCCTCCGTCCCAAAATTTAGTTTCAAAAACTTCCGTACTACAGTTCCTTCGACCACTAGCTTGCACATGTACCTAAATCAATGCTTCTAAGGTGCAAGGTAGCTAGGGATATAAACATTTATGCAAATTTGAATTAGCTGTGGTAGAGATGTCATGCTTGACCCTCTTTCTCAGCTCGATGCTTTCATTATTACTATTTCATAGCACTTCCAATTACAAAGTATGGATGCTGTTGTCTCGAAATATGAACTCTCAATCTCACCTCATTGTTGACAAATCTGCCTCCTGAAAAAAAGAAGATAATAGAAATATTGAGCAACGACATGTCACTACCAACCAAAGTCAAAAGTGGAACACTTTGAGGTTACATTTAGTACTTCAATTATTGTGGTTTTGCATCTCAAAAAGAGTGATCCCTTTCCTGATTGGTAAATTAGAAGCTAAAATCTAGCTATGCCCCAAGGCATATACAGCCTAGATTAGAACAGATTTTAACGCAGTCTGTTTGCAAACAAAGCACAAATGTTCACTTTCTCACACATCCCACAGAGGGCCAATCGTTATTGATGAAAGGAGAACTGCAAATTATGCCTAAACTCGAAACAATGACCTGTACTAGCATTACGAGCACAACAGTTCCATGATGTCACGCTCCCGGTGATGCGACCACACTTTGTAAGACACTGGCGCTTTCCGACTCCACTACATAGGTGTTCTGGTCTCCTTCCTATACAATTGCAGGCCATCGATGCGACGGGTTCATATTTTGACGTGGGTTTCTATCTTTTTCACTCATGTTCGTCAAATAAAGAAACAGTGTGCTCTGTCCTTATAAAGAAAAGCTCAGAGTTCTGAAATTAATACCATAACACCCATCTCTAATTTTCTGCTTTTTGCATATTCTAAAAAATTCATCAAATATTGCGACACTTACCGTTGCCGCAATCTTTTATCACCTTTTTAATATACAAACTGGCTGCGCATGAGTGTAATTTTGGGTTGCTTAGGAAGAGCGCGTAGATGAGGTATGACAACAAAATAAGGATCTCAAAAAGCACCTTAGTGCCCCTTTAAGGAAGTTGCATTTGAGAATGTGAAGGTTTTTAGAGAGACATTTTGACACCGACAACTTGTTGAACGAGTTTTCTTCCGTGGAACCAAAAGCCGGCGACTGACCAGAGGGTGAGGGCCCAGTGGCAGCAGCCTTGGTGCAGGAGCGGGAGCCGTGCCCTTGTCTCTGACTGCAAATACACCGCAAGAAAATGGCAGCCAAGTCAGATCGGAGGCATGCCGTTTAGAGAAGCTTGTTTCAGCGAACACCGTTTTACCGACCCAAGTTGATCGAATCCTTTTATAGAAAAACCCAGTTTGGAGAAAATGGCAACGAGCCCCCTTTAAGCAAATTCAGCCGCCGCGAAGCGGCGTCCATGGATGGGTCAGGCGAGTTAACGTTTATGGAATGAGTTGCGGCAAACTGCCGCCGCAAAGCGGTGGGAACACAACGGGAGGCCTGGGTTAACACGCGCACCAGTGATACACGCGCGAAGTAGGAAAGCCTTTTTTAAACAGCGTCCCCTTTTCAGCAAACGGCGTTTCTCTAAACTGAAGCTCTGCTTTCTCTAAACCGTGCTTCGATAAAACGTGCCCTTTCTCTAAAGCGTGCTTCGATAAAATGGCGTTCGACCAACCGTAGTAAACCCAAGTCAGGTATCTGTATCTGTAGGGTGTCTGAAGTCACCAGGCTCGATCTAAAATGGACCGTAAAAATCGATGCCTGCACGAAGCAATCAAAACTTTTCGCCAAAGGTGTATTTTACAGGTCCGTTTTTTCTCGTAAAATTACGAAGTGTAGCCTCCTTTCTGAAAAAAAAAAATAGGGCCAAGAAACTTGCCAGGGCCAACGTATTGATAGATGGTGTTATCTCCTTATCGAGATTAAAGCGCTGGATATCTTGATTTAATTCATCCTGCACCTTAATCGAGACTGCTTGTGATGATCGTGATCTACTAAAATGAACATATTTTTTTAGTGTACCTTAGCTTTAAGAATAAATGCAAACAATAAAAGCAAAACTTTGAAAAAAAAGTAGTTGCATAATGATGGCATTTTTGCTGACGACAGATCTGCCTGTGTGTCGTCTGCTTTCTCTCGCTGGTCGGCTACACCTTCCAACGCTGCTCGCGGCGCCATCTATCAATATGTGTGACAAACTCGCCCCGCCACTCGACTCTGCCAACTGTGTCGCCGTCGATACTGGCAAGTTTCTTGGCCCTACTTTTTACAAAAAGAAAGGTACGCTTTGTCATTCTACAGCATAAAACAGACCTGTGAGATACACATTTGACTAAAAGTTTAGATTTCTTCATGCAGGCGTCATTTTTAAGGTCCATTTTAGATCCAGCCTGTCGACTTCAAACAACCTACCGTAAAATTCCGAGCGAATGCCCACGTTTGAAGGATCACCCACTGCCCACCTTTTTGTTTAACCGACTCTCTATCTCTCGGAAACTGTGTTCCGATACATCGCCCTCCCCCCGATTCCTGTTGTACGTCACGCGACGTCCGACGGGAATTGCGCGTCAACGGCGCGATCTGCGGTACCGGTAGGTTTGGCAAACCAATTCCATAGCGGGTTCCCGCATTCGTGTGTCCGATCTGCGAGCACGAAATGCGTGAAATGCAAATCTGCTGTGTTTGCAATCTGCGGTATCCGTTCCCAAGTTTTTAGCGGATTAGTGTTTGTCAGCGATCTGAGTGCGCGACATTGATTCCTAGCTGTAACATGCGCGAGTTGTTCCCGCGTGTATATTACATCGTGAAATGTGATTCTGCAGCGTCCACTATCTGCTCGATTTGTTTCCGTGACATGCGAGTTTACAGTGGATTCCCGCATTTTTGTCCGCAATGTGCGCGCACAATATCGGTTTCCATGACAGGCAAGATTGAAGCGGGTTCCCGCGTGTTTATTGCACCACGGATCTTGAATTTGCTCCTTCCGCGATCCATGTTATCTGTTCCTGTGAGACGAGAGTTCTCGGTAGGTTTCCGCGGGTCCTTTGCACTGAGAAACGCGAATCTGCTGCATCCTCGATCTGCGGCATCCTTTCTCGTGACACAGGAGTTTGTAGCGAATTCCGCCATGTTCATAACATTGTGAAACGCGAATTTGCCATGGCCTCGATCTGCAGTATCAGTTCTCGCCCTGGTGCTTATTATTTCTGATAAAATTTTGCTGTGGCCTCCCCAAAGGTAACCCACCCCAGGTTTTTCACCATTTAACTCTTCATTTTGGGCAGCCTTTGCTCGGAATTTTACGGTATATACCTCAGTGGCAAGTCCTTCACTGTATTGCCTTTCGATGACATCACAATGATTTCACTAATGATTATTTTGCACACACGTAAAACAAAGATGCTCTACAGTCTGTTGCGACAAAAAATCTGCAGGAGAAACTATAGCTCCAGCACATGTCTGCTATGCTCCGTTCACTGCAGCCAAAGTTACAAGCATGAGCTAGCCCACGCTCTTGGCTTTGAGACGTGCATTTCCAGTGCGAGAGTTCGCTCTGCGGAAGAGCGCTTCAAAGCAGCGACCTCGAGCTTTCGTGCTTGAGGCATTGGCTGCAGTCTCAGCTTAAATGGAGCATAGTTGCCTCCTGCCATGCGTTGGCAGCACATGCACCACAAACCGCAATGTTACTGAAGGCAGAAAGCTTGCACTGAAGGCAGAGCTTGTACTGGAGATCTTGTGTTCCAACAGACTGTAGACATGTTTTTATTGAGAAATAGTTTCAGCATACTCTTGACGCTCGAAATTTCCGATGGTATTGTTTGAGAGCACTATGTTGTTTTGCAAATTTGTCAGCTGTGACTGCCAGCAGAATGCTGCACAGCGAACGAAACAAACGCTCATGGTGGGTCACGAACCCCAATCACAAGATAAATGTCCACCAAGCCCACCGACTTTTTCAACTTAATAAGCATGGCTGAAACACATCTATGAAACTTTGTGCAGTTTTGTTTCCGAATTCTATAAATTTGTGAGGATTTAAAGAGCAGCTCCCAGATGTGTCGGGATAATGCTCAACCTAACATTGAAAAGCAGAAATTAAAGGCCCCATGTCGCCGGTACAGTGCAATCCACTTATAACGATAACACATACAACAATGCACTGCTTATAGCAATCAGTTTCTAGAGTTTCTAGACTAGAAACAATCAGTATCAAGTACAGGTACAACAATGATCAGTCATAACGATTGAAATTCCGGATTTTTTTCATTATCGTTATAAGTTGATTGCACTGTATTACAGATAGTAAAATATGTTTCTTGCTTCCTTTATCGGAAAACAATTCCAAAACTTTTGCTCCATTGAGCAACAATGATACTACTTTGCAAGAGGCATGGCTAACCGTGAGATCCTCCATGCAGCTGACAAATACCGAGTTTGTGTCACACGTACTGACACCGTGCGAGTTCTCTCCTAAAATGCATCGCACTTGCAGAGTGTCGCACGGAGAGCCGGTCCCGGACCAACTTGCTGAGTTCAAACTTATTCTATCGCCATCTATGTTGTAGCAAGAGTACCGACCTCAGACTGAAAATGGCACCCTGCTGTCCGACACGACAGGCAGGAACGCGAAACGGTCGCTGCAATGTTTATATTTGCGACGACTCAAAACAGCTCGATTGTCGAAGAGATTTTTACATGCAACATATGTTTCCGACACAAGCTGACAACAAAACAAATGTAAGAAATAACCAAAAAAGTGAGCAACCTTTCAATTCTCGTAACTGTTTACACTGGAGAAAACACCGTTGATACTATTCCCGCAGACGCTTGATCAATTTTAAGCGTGAACCACTTAAAGGATACGGTTTCAAACTAGTCCAACGGAATCTCCAGCAATACATTTTGCGGCACCTTTGATTTCGTTCCATGGTCACATATAGCTGTGTTAGCTTTTATGTATTTCTAATGAGAGCGGCGAGATGGAGAGCTTTCTCAAACAAAAAAACGAGCGTGCTAAGGAACTGGTGCAGGTAAACATTAAATATGGCAACTTTACGTAAGCCTCGGTTAAAATCATCATGTTTAGCTTTCTCGGCTGCTAACCGAATGCATCGCAGGTTCTGCTGGGCGAGCTTTCTCGACAAATGCTGTCCACTCGTGAGCCAACAATAGGCCATATTTTGGCGACCACTTTTTACCCGTACACCCGTGAGAGAGATCTTGCGGCCGCTGATGCATTTATCTCGAGCCTTTTTACTCGTCTGTAGATTTCAGCGATGGTATGGCAACAAAATGCCTCAGAACTTGCAAAAAGTATAGGTTGTCGATTGCTTCCTTCATGAAATAGAAAAAAGTCACAATTCAAGCTCGCGTTCGGTCCTGTCTCTCAAAAAATGCAAATTCTAACAAAAGAAATTTTTTTTTTTTTGTGCGACCGGCAGGGTGTAGCATAGACAGTATTGCATGGTGGCGCACACTCGATTCTCTCGGTGCAGCGGGTGCATGGACGCACCGAGTGCCGGCTGGAACAAACTCTCTCCATGCTGCGAGTAGACACGCGTGGACAGTAGTGCAACGAACAAACTAGCTAAAAGTTTGGTGTCACCTGCAAGCTTTATCAGAAAAAGTAAAAAAGAAAGGAAACAGTCCCAAAAGCAGCAGCTCAGTGTTCGTTGCATCAACACCGCGGTAATGACTCTGCCGGAGATTGCACCACATGTTGCCAGTTAGAGTAAACAGATTTCGGAACTCCAATGTCAAAAATCTGATGCCCCGCTTAAAAACTGCTTAGGTGGAACTATGCGGAACTGGATTGTTTTCTCATTCACAACAACAAAGCGGAGACATACTTTAAGTCAAGTAACCTCCATGACAATGATTTGAAGACAAAAAGCCCCGTTCACGAAACTTCCCCAATGGGTACCACTAATCTAGAAAACAACCGATACAACTGGCAAAAAAAATTTGCATTTGTTAGGGTATGAACAACACCACCACTGAAACCTTCTCACCCATTCCAAGGCTGGAGGGCAAGAACTGGCTTGAGGGGACGGAGACCCCGAAACTGGAAGCCCGCCGGCGCGAACGAGGGGTTCTCCTTGAACGCCAGCTTCCTGGGCTTCTCCGGGGCGGCCATCTTGCGGGCTGCCACGGACGCCCCAGAAACGGCAGCAGTCGCTCCGGAAGCAGCAGCCAATCCCACTTCCTTGGCCGGGCTGCCGAGATCAAGCCCTGGCCAGGGCGGAAGTGGGCAAACAAGAAGTCTTACACATTAGGGTGCCTGGAACGGATCACCGACTGGTGTTTCTATTGCGTCCCAAAAAGTGGCCCCTCCATGGTCCACGGAAGCTCGGACACCCGGCAGTGGGGACTCAGCAACGACAGCGAAACTCCCATTCTTTCCCGATTTTGTTAATAGTGCCCAACCGGGCAAATTGCGACATCCCACAACACAACATTCCGGCTTTTGCGACGTCGTCTGTTGCCAGTTGGGGACCACTTTCGATGTATGGAGAGGATGGGACACTAAGTGCAGAAGTCGTAGACACGTTTCAGGCACCATACCTCAGGTAAGGTGGGAGGGGCACGTTTATGCACCGAGCCGAAAAGCCGATGCAGTTGACGAACGCCCCTCCACCTCTCTCTCTCTACCAAACACCGAGCAATGGTGATGAGAGGGAGGCGTGTTCTCACCTCGCCGCACGGTGGTGGACCTCGTCACCCTCGTGGCATCCTGAAAAAGTAGTTCGGTCCGTTCAGACAACCCCAATCACGGCGTAAAAGCCGAGAGCACTGCTTTACCCTTTGCTACGGCGCACTTGTTTTTCTTGTTTCTCGTAAAGGCCCGTCACACTTGCGACCGACTTCAACCGAGAGAGACCAGACCGGTTTTTGAGCCTCTTGCGACTTCTTAGGACCAGCTCCGCTGCATCGCATCCGGTCCTAAGTCGCAAAAGGCTTAAAAACCGGTCTGGTCTCTCTCGGTCGAAGTTGGTCGCAAGGGTGTGAACGGGCCTCAACGTTTGCAGGAGGTGCGAAGAACCGGGAGGCAGTTCTCGACATTCAATGTGGTCTTTGAAACTATGCTATTGTCCCAGTTAAAAGTACTCCTGCCAGTCTCGAGAGTAGACTAACACTATGGAGGGATGTCATACATCTTCCGAGGTTTGTGCTCGACCAGGTTAGATTTTTTTTTTTTTAAACTTTTAATGCAGTGCCTAATTGAAGTTAGACTACTATACGCATGCGTGGAAATGGAGAACAAACTGAGGCCACCTAGGAAAGGAGAACAACAAACGAGCCGAATTAATAAAAGATTCATTTGTTTTTACACGGTAAGAAAACATTAATATTAATTTTCAAAGATAAAAAAAAAAAAAAACTATATTTTCTTTTACATTTTTATTTTTGTGCAGAAGTCGAGCAAAACACTGCCCAGGAGTAGAGCCTCAGGCAACGTTACTAGAACAATTCAGTTGGGAAACTGCCATAGGAGCCCATTTTGCAAAAGCGGCTCCAATCCCAACTCGCTTCGATCACAACGCTGCTGTTTCTCCCACAGCGGCCACTGCGGGAACTGAACGGCTGTATGTATGGGTTCAGGTAGTAGTTCAGGTCCAGTCGCACAAGGGCCGGTGGCGCCATCTCGCATGCAGTAGCTCTATAAAGCAACTTTCATGTTTTTGAATTGCTGCTAAAGGGTGGCGCTGTAATGGAACCAGTTTGGTGGACGCGAGCGTTCAGAGTTTCAAGGCTGAATTTTTCTACTAGAAAAGTAATGCAAACACAAACAAAGATGCTTACCTTCATTGTCTGCCTTGGAACAAAGAGTTTGGAACCTGTAGTGGCTGGGAGGGCACTGCCCCTGGCTTGGAGGGACCAGGAGGGCGTACAGGTGGCCTGGAACCAATTTTAGGAGGTGGCATGAACTGCATGAACGAAGTTGCACGTGCGCAGCGAGGAGCTGCCTGACATTTCCATTCCCTAGCAGTGCAAGAAGAACAATGCAAAACAGGTCTGGGTGGGGCGTGACATCCTGCTGGATGGATGGACATTGAGAGTGTCCCAAAACCGACATTTCGCTGGAAAATGAGCCGGAAAAATCTGCGCCTGCGCATAGAGAGCCCCAACTTTAACCAAATGTGCATTGGGCAGACCAATTTTACCGTGTGAAATTTCGAGGTGCAGTTCTCTTCCTGTAAAAAGTTAGCAAAAAGCTTGCTAAAGTCAAGGTAGGGAGCGTTAGTGGATGACTGAGTTAGAGACGTTATTTACTTGTGGTACCATCTCCTAATAGGCGCAGCGAACGTACGACACACTCTGTTATCTGCTCGCTGCGCCTAACGGAAGATGGCGCCACAAGTAAATAGCGTTGCTAACTCGGACGTCTGCGAATCCGTCCCACCTCGAGTTGGGCAAGTTTTTTTGTTCCCATTTTTCTACAGGAAGAGAATTGCGCCTTGAAATTTCTCACTGTAAAACTGGTCTGCCCAATGCACATTTAATGGAAGTTCGAGCTTTCTATATGAAGGCGCCAATTTTTTCCGGCTTGTTTTATAGCAGAAGGTTCGCCCGAGACACCCTATAGTCGGATCTTTTGAATCCGGGAGTGGCTCGCACCATCCAGGGTAGTGTTTCTAAGTAATGCAATGAAATGGTGAGACCGATTCCTAAGGGACTCAGACACTGAAACTGGCAAATTGATGTCCACTTTAGATCTCCCTTGTAGGAACTATTGGGCTGCATCAAACAAAGACCCACTTTTCAGGATCCCATTAGAATCAACGGTAAAGGAAAACTGAACCAAAGTTTGGATTTCGCAGAATAAAGCCGCAGAGGCATTGAATGGGACGCTACGAACTCAAAGACCTCACTCGTATATAAAACGGATGGCCATTTTTGGAAAAGAAGGGTGCGGTCAAGCGAGGACTCCGACGTCGCGACCCTCCTGGAAAAGTTGAGAATGAGAGGAAGCGGCCATCGCTTCTCTCCCCCTCGCTTCAACTTAACAGCTCGACAGGACGAAGCGAGGAGGAGAGGGAACTAAAATCATAACGTCACATGTCTCGTCGGCCGTGTTATATTGCGCATTTTTTTTCTTAAAAAATTCGGCCATTCGTTAGAGGTACTGCTGTACGAGTAGCGTTTTAAGGTCTCCAGCCCCGTTTTGCGAGCTCAAAATTTCAGTTCAGTACCCCTTAAGAGGGGGCGCACCTCAGAGCCCCATAGAGAATACATGAGGTTTTTCACCAAACTAAAAAAATTCTCACATAATAACGGCTGCACAGATCTTCTTGAAAATTTCGGCTTTAAAGACATTGAGTCATTATCGAGACACTAAGCGCAACAAATGTTTCATCATAAATTTAATTATATTCTTTAAAAAATCATGAAAATGGTCAAAATCGGCTAATTCGGCACTCTTGCGTTCGGAGCGAATTTACAAAATTATCTAAATTCAAACATAAGAAGTATTGCGCTTAATGACTTCTAAATTTATTACGGAATCGAATAATATTCAAATTATTCATGTAAGTCGATTTGTTCCGTAACTACAGCAAATATAAAGAACCAAGGTGTCGGTGCTTGTTTTCGTCGTTTTTAAGGTACCTCTCTCTCCCGTGCGGTGGCGCTCGCTGTCCACGAAATGCGAAATCGTCCGTTCGGAGATCGGCCGGATCGGCACTGTGCGAGGTGTTCGTCCGCGGCCGTATTCCGCGCCCGTATCCTGTTTCATTCTGCACGCCGAGGCGTCAGTGTGCGTGTCTTGCTTTCCTGGTTCTCGCTGGGTAGGTCTCCGTGTTTTCGCAAGTGGCAAATTCACCTTGGAGCTATGGGTCGAAGACAACCGTCCTGTGGCAAGCGGACCGCGAGGTGACCTCGCGGTCCGTCAACGCGTTGTGCTTGTTTCTACTTTTTTTTTTTCTTTTAAAAACGGACTTTTTTTTTTTGACGCAAAGTTTTATTTTATTGTTATCCTTCACACAAACGTCCTTCGGCCTTGGGGTCGTGGAAATCGGGGATGAAGCGTGCACAGAGTAGATCATTGTTTGCCTCCTTTTTTTATTTTTCACGGACGTCCTGTGACCTCCGTACGGTTCGTGGTCACCGCCATCTAACGCGGGGAAAAACGGGTCGCCTGCTCTGTAGTCAGGGTATTCTTAGGAAAGGGTGATAACTCGCTGTTCTTCTGGAAATTCACGCATCACCCAAAAAGGTGACATGGGTAATGATTACGGTATGTTTTTTCCGGTGTTTATTTTTGAGCGAAAATGTTTTTTGGTGCTTATTTTTTAATCACCAGTGTATTATGGGTTGAACGTCTTGTGATGACGCTAAAAAGCGTTGATAACCAAAGAAAAATGCGATTGGACAATAACATTTCAAATTTCCAATTCTATTCACATATCCATTACGCTCTTCTCGTGGGAGCATCTATCCTGACGAAAAAATGCCTAAGTCATTGAGCTGTGAACGCATACTCAGTGTACAATCTTTCGGTCTAGAGAGGTATTGCGCACGCTCGAACGCGCTTCACAGCCCAGTAGACGAAGTTGGTGGCACCCAGAAGCCGAGTTTTTGAATGGTCTGTAGTAGGCAAAAGAAACAAATAACAATCAACGCATATCAGCTCTTCAAGCGAAGAGGCGCGTTTCTGAGGTCAATGGTTCCGGACGGCACTAATGTTGTCGGCGTTGTCGTAAGATGACGTCAGTTCATACGAACTGACGTCATCTTACGTGATCACGTGACACAAACACGTCATCTTACATGATCTCGTTACACGAAATGACGTCATCTTACGTGATCACGTTGCACAAAATGACGCCATCTTACGTGACCACGTAACACGTCATCTTGTAAGTCAACCTCTCCCCACAGCAGCGCGCTCCGCGCTTTCCGGGTCCGTGCAGTGCTGTAGTCGAAAGCAAGCTCTCTATGGCAAGCGAAAGCTTCTGAAGTCTCACATTGAGAATACTCGCAACCGACCGTCTGTGGAAGCTTCGCACGTTGAGGTTTTTGTTGAGATTGAGCCATCGTGTTCCATTAACAATAGTTGAAGTTATCGTTCAATAAAGTCCTATAAAATATGAATGTAGTTGGTGTAGACATCAAGATCTAATCAAAAATGCGGTTTGACGTCGTTTAATTAACGTGTATATACAAGTGTAGAAAAAAATGAGTTATTTGTGCATAGATGTTTAAAAAAGTGTTTATTATTCGACATAGGACTTTGGGAGAAGGATGTGTTCAGATTTTTCTTCATGAGCGCAAATATACCTGACGCAATAAATAGTGACGATTTCATCGTCCCAGTGGTGAGCAGGTGATTTCTTGCTCGAAACAATGATGCCATTTCATAAACCAAGTTCTGTGACATATGCTTTTCCGATGTCTGGTCACTATTTTGTAAACCTTTCAGTCCAAACGAGTATACTTCTGTTTGTTTTTGTTAGCTTAGGAGGGGGTCACAGAGCCTATCTTTTTGTCTTCCTCTAGGACAGACGTACAGAGTTATACCGCAACACGCATCTGTGGAGCACACAGAGCTATCGCTCTCCTGTTGGCGGTACAGTAGCAGACGACACAACGCAGCTCCGTAGTCTATCGAGGGCATGGCTAGCCGCGGCCCGTAGCGCGACCGTTTAGACTAGGGAAATGGTTTTGAAGAACCGAGAAATGGTATCTTGTGTACAATAATCACATGTCGTCAGTATACTAGTATTCTACTTGCTAAGACAAATAAATATTTGCAGCTTGTGAGAATATGTTTGCGTGACGATTTACCGTTCACTTTCCTGACGGATGTTAGCGAATCCTTCATGTTCGTGGCTCGCAGTTATTGGTACCCCCTCGGAGTGACTTCACCATATATATTTTTTCTTGCTTGCAGGACATCATAAAAATCACAAACACGCGAGAAAAAAAAAATCTTATGAGTACGCGTGTTTTTTTAGCTTCGCAGCTCTAAAGATGCCCGGTAAATGTCGTCCAGCTTGGGAAGAAACTAATCCTTTTTGTTGGAGTTTGACTATCGTATGCTGGCAGCTCGTTTCCGGTCTGTTTTGTCTATACTCCGTTTCACCGTAATTTGGCAACCCTCAGTCAGAGCTGCTGTGAGGGAATCACAGTCGCGGAGCAAAGCACGTGACAGCCACTTTTAGGAGCAGTACTATGGCGCCTGCAGCGCGTCTCCGACTGGTGTGTTTAGCGTCGTATGCTGGCCATACATCAAAAGTGGTCCCGAAGTGCAACAAATGACGTCACAGAAGACTGAGTGTCACGCTGTTGCATCTCGCGATCCTGGCAATTCATCGTAGAAATGCTGGCGAAAACCACGAGGGAACACGAGTGTCGCTGTCGTCATGGCGTCCCAACGAAAAGCAATTATACAATTTCGACGTTTTTGTAATTCGGTAATTTAAATTACTGTATACAATTTTTAAGAAAGTAAAGACATCATAACCAAATAGGAACTTCCGTGCTAAAACATGCAGTGCGAAGTGAAGACAACTACTATCTTTTTTTTTTCTTGATGTCCACAAAAAAAAAGGCTATGCAGCATCGATCCTACCGTTTTTTTGTTGTTTTTTTTCGCACATTATGTGATGTCCTCTAACACGAAAGTACCGACGTAAAAGCGCTGTAGAGACAATATAAAAACAAAAATTTAAGTGAATCGAGCTTTGTAGTGGAACGGAAAAAAATAAATAATTAACGACTTTTTACGGTAAGCACTTCACCTCTAAGTAGAACTTCAAAAAAAGTGACGGTTACGCGCTTTCATGCCCATTTCAACAAAGTTGGGAGAACGATGTATTGCATCTTGTGAATAGACATGTGGAGCAGCATGTTTATGTTAGAGGCATTGTGTGTAATCGCTGCGCAGTACCTGCCAAAAGAAGATATTATTTGGGCACAGTCTGAACAGTTTCCGTCTGTGTGTGCTACGAATACAGCAACTCTTTTCGTAGAAGAAGTGATGAGGAAATGGCGTGCCCTTGATGATACGATTGTGATTATGAAATAAAATTTTTAATCAGCCAATAATTGCGACCTGTACGGTCGCCTGGAACCCCGACAACAACTATCGTTCTCTGGAAAGTTCATTCTAATATTTACACGTTTTGTGGAGTTCGTCGAGCGAATAAGAATGTTCCAACAATGAGCTAAGCCTACACGAGTTCCCGAATCCAACACGGCGCTTTTGAATTTTAGCGCCGTAGATAGTTCTGCGAACAGTGTATACTTCTGTGCAAATATTCGTCTAACAGTTTTGCAACGTTGGAAAGCATCGGAATGATTCAGAATCACTGCGGAGTTGATACTCGGGAAGATAAGACAGCCACTTGGGAGAAACAGACCGTGGCATTTGAGACAGGGGCACAACCGGGGGACAAACGTGCTACAACCGCATACCCTTCCAAGGTCATCGCTTGGGCGACCGCGCGCGCGCCCAAGAAACCTTTCTTTTCTTCTTTCTAGGGGTGGTTGGGGGGGGGGGGGGGGGGGGGGGGGGGGGGGGGGGGGAAAGGGGAGTGGAGTGGTGTAGGCGCTGATTGTCTTCCTCCTTTGTGGCTTTTGACAGACGCACAACGAGACTGGCAGAACAAGCGCATGATTCATTTCTTTCGATGGAGGCGTTCTGTCTGTGTATGCGAACAGGATTTTTTTCCCCTTTTAGTAGTTAGTTGTTCTTGCCTTGACTCGGGTCCCAGTGGGTGCGTTGTCGTTGTATGCCCACTATTTTTTTTTTTAGTTTGTGGTAGTTTTTGCAGTGTTACCACAGGTGCAGGATTGAGAGCGTAACCCACGCACTTGAAGAGAAGGGGAAGCTCTCGTCTTATTGGAACTCTCTTTTATGGGTTTCCACGTTGCGATTGTCCTTCAAACTCAACTGTCATTTATTTCTCGCTCGTGGCTTCCAAGTACTGAAAGCCACGACTCGAGCCACAATAGTTTTGCGAAATCAAGCTCTTGTCTTATTGGAACTCTCTTTTATGGGTTTCCACGTCGCAATTGTCCTTCAAACTCAACTGTCATTTATTTCTCGCTCGTGGCTTCCAAGTACTGAAAGCCACGACTCGAGCCACAATAGTTTTGCGAAATCAAGGTTTCGCTGAAATGGATAACTCTCACGTACAGTTCGACGCGCAATACCTTTGCCGTATTGACTCGCGAGAGATGCCCCCAACACGGCTGAGTATGGCGGTGCTCCAGACCTAACATCTAAATTTTGTTGCCTTACCTGTTACTATTTCGCGCCCATTTTGAGCCATATCAAAATGAAAGCGCATGATGAAATAAAAATGACACTTGTTTTCCGCTCGATGGAAATTTCACGCCAGCTCGCTGTCTTTGCTGGTACCTTGAGCGTTTCCCAGCGATGCGGAGTTAAAAAAAAAAAAAAAAAACGCACGATGGCATCTTTTGCACACTCATTACTTCTATAACACTGAGCCACCTCGTATCCTTTTGTTTTTCTTTCATGGTACTAATTTCTTTCTGCGCATTACGGCTGTTACGACGCTAAGTCTGTCTGCACCTTCGCATTTGAACTTAGGCTCAGATCAGGGACGAACCAGTTTAAATCAGGAAAATATAATTAACACTGTAGCAAAGTAAATCTATCATATCGATCAGAAATACGATTTGGCACATTCCATCTGAACACATATTGTGCACAGCGAATGCAATAGCGAGTCAGCGTGCAAAACGCCGCCACACTAAGCTACCATAACATCTCAGCGATTTTTGCATAGCACCGAGCACGGAAAAGAGAAAACAGTTATTCATTCACATAAACGAAGCAAATTTATTTAAAGCCCGGACACTCCGTACGTCCAATCTAGCTAGGGTTATCAATAGACTCGACCATGTCATTTGTCGAAACAGATAAAAGACGTTGGCAAAAATGATTAGACTGAATAAGTGAATCTAACGCACATATTTTACCAACCGACGGTCGCGCGCCTTCAATACCCTTTCCAATTGTCATTGCGCACCTTGGACACACTTTGGGGAGCAATGCATATTTACATCGCCGCCGGAGGTCTCCATTGAACGTGTAGTACTGACCCAAATAAAATACTAACCTGACTCTCAATCGCTCACCGCAAAGGACGATTTCGAACAGGCGGTACTGTAGGTCACTTGAGATAAAAAAAAAGAAAAGAAAAAACAAGCTATAGAAACGAGCGTCGTAAAAAAGGGGACCGGCATTTTTATTCCTACCTCCGAACAGAAATGAGCGCCACCCACTGCATCACACAGCGCAGAGGCCGGACTCGGCCACCGCGCGTACATACCAAGCGTGCGCGAGGGAGGGAGAAACTTCCTCCGCCGGGAGAACACGACACATTTCGGGATCTATTTCACGCAGCGGATAACGCGGGCCTTTTCACACCTCGATACTGGCGCCATCTAGAAGTTGCGCGTTCAACCACGTTTCGAGCCGCGCGCCATCTGGTGGCAGAAACGGACGAATAAATACAGGTACCGCGCCCTCTTAAAGGGATACTACAACGAAATTTGAAATATACCCGTCGTGTTCACAAATAGGTTGAATATGATCCCCAATATCCATAAATGACAATCGGACATTTGTAATTTGAGCCTGGTGGCTGCATTTTTCGTTATAAATGGCCTCCTCTGGCAAGCGCTCCGAGAGCAGCCAGCGGAGGGCACGTCACATCCGGCGCAATCGTGACGTAGTCTGTATCGGGATGAGCAAAGCTGCGGCGAGGCCGACGTCGTCAGGGGTCCCTAGCCGTTGCAGCCACCAAGCGGCCGAAGCACGCCAACAATCGGGTCACCGTAACTAACCGCAAAGCTGCTTTTGTGTGAATTTTGGGTGATGGGTTAATTTACTATAATTTTCTAGAGGGAGAATAGCGATGTTCGGGACACACAAAAAAAGAGTCCTGTTGAGTAAGGAGTTCCACCCTTTCCTCTTCTCTTGTGCTGGCCCCACAGCTGTCGGGATGATGCCAGCTTCAAAGCGTGTGTAGTTCTAAGCGCTAGACAATTGTTGTCACTACCTGTCAAGGTTCCTAGACGGGCATTACAAACGAGGCTTTAGTGACACCCACCAGGTGCTCTTTGCTAATCGTTTAATTTGTTTTAAAATTCCTTTTAATGTTTTTTTCAACAAGATATTGGTGTATCCAATGTGATACTACTCCTTTGAACACGTATAGACCAAAAAAATAAGCACCGAAATTTCGTGCCACAAGCCATGGACACTGCATAGCAGAGGGTGCTAGGCAGGCATTCTGAATGATCTGAACTGTGGCGCTCCTGTGTAAAAGAACTCCTGTCTGGGAATAAGCAAGCTTCCGACCCTTGCACCTCTGTTTGTTCCACTTTGCATCTGCGAGTACAGCCACTTCGGCCTCTAGCGCGTCTGAACACTCATTAATAAAAAATCTCAGCTCGAAAACTTAATCGTGTAAACAGACTGGACTCTAAAGAATGCTCCAGGCATCAATGGCAAGACAGACACTTCTAATCAATAACACCTAAAAAAATTGGCTGCTGACAGAAACTGCTCTCATCCATTTGTTTATATTCATTCTGCATTCTGTATTCCATTACACTCGACACAGTGCAATGACATGCTGCGATGGTCACACATTTTTGCTGAATGCTTTCTTTGCTATTCTGCAAAGGAAGAAGAGTCCGCTATTTTAAAACCCCCGTAATACAATTAACATTACCGATTTTCCAAAATCACGTTGACATTTATTGTTAGTGCATGCAATCACTAATGTCTAAAGACTCACAATATAGTCAAAAGGAATGCCATTATGTTCACAAAAATTTCCTGGACAGAAAGGGTCTTGCCATCAAAGACTCTGCAAAGTGTGGAGCACCCTCCGTGGCGCCGAAAGGAATCTGGGAACCTTTTGTATAGATCCGGCTGTAGCATACGACTGGAGAGATGCAGGTGAGGGCAAGCAAGCAGCTGCTTTACCCTCCTCCTCATCTCTCTTCAGCGTCCCGTTGTAGACGCCGTTCAGGGAAGGACGTTCCAATTGTCAATTTCACGCTTCGCCTCACCGTAGTTCCCTTTCTGACCGAGCTGGAGGAGTGCCCCAAGGTGGCCGGGAAGGGGCTGGGGTTGCGTGAAGGGGGCCTGAAGGGGGCCCTCTGCGCCTGGTTCCCCAGCAGCTGTCTCCGAACTGCTCGCTCCTCCTTCCAGCGTTGTAGCAGACGACCTCGGGAGGTGGTGCCACCTGTTGCTCCGAGGGGGACACTGAGGGTAAGGAGTAGCCTCGGTAGACACACAACGTTCGCACACCCAGTCCCAAAAACATCAAATGGGCAACGGAGAAAAAACAAATGCAAATTGGCACTGTGGATGCGAATGCTTATACGGACAGTCCTTGTGATGCCCTGGTTCGACGCTGAGGAAAGGAAACTGGGCTTGGGCAGCAAGACTACCAACCTGCAGTCCTTCAGGACCATTTTTAGAGACTGGAGAGCATGGCTACGGCAGAGGCAAACTGCAATTCCTCTGCTGCTGTAGCGCAAACCAAATAGTGCAACCCAAAACAAGAAAATGTGACGTCAGGAGGCTGAAAGCCATGAAAAAAAGAGGTGTGAAAGTGACTCATCAAGCAGCTTAGCAAGCGTTTCTGTTCTTGAAAAGCTGAGTCTGGCAGGTGCACGCTGCATTAATTTATTGCACCATCGAATATGCCCCTGACCACAACATTACTTGCAGTGTCTCAGTCAGAGGTGTTCAATTTAGCTGTTCTCCTTTCAGCATAGCTTGGCACATGGTGAAAGCTGTGGCTATGCCAAACCAGTCAGGGTGTCCAAACGAAGCGCATAGCAATGTACCATCACTATGTATCCCCCCTGTGGATAGCCATCACGTGCTGCGCTACGCAACTGTAATTGGCTGACAAGGTCCATAGCTCTCACCCTTTGCGAAGTCATGCTAAAACAGAGTACAGTGATGTTAAAACAATAAAACTCGTTAGGTATTAATTTTTGTTCACCACCACAGGTAGGGGATTATTAGTGGTGTGTGAATAGCTAGAACAAGTGTCTACAGATGCTAATGACTGCAATAAATAGCCAATGTCACTCTATATATATATATCTGGGTCTGGGGTCTTGAATGTACAAGGTGCACACTGCGATGAGAAAAGACAGCCAAAGTGTAAGCAAACTGGCTCGCAATGCTGGCTATCAGCCTTCCATGGTGTATGCAGATTCACTAATACTCGAAATAGCTAACAGATGCCTTTGTACGTAGGCACTGGAACTCGGCAGCTAGACAAGAGAACAAGAACAGCTAGGCCACAAGACTTACTTTGTTTTAGTCCCAGTAGCCCATTTATGCTTTCTGTGGACGATTGTGTCCCCTGCATCGCTCAGTATTAGCTTTAAAATATTAAAAGTAAATTAGCACTAAGCAGGCTAATAAGCATACCGTTTCTCAGCAACAAACAGCTCAGACGATGAATCCACCGTTTCAGAGAATCACCGGTTCGAGGTGTTCGAATAGAGAACGCGGTCCACACCGCGAGCGCTGGCACGAGACTTCGCTATAAAGCCTGCCATGGTTGCTCGTGAATCCTAGGGTGCCTCAACGTCCTTCTGTTTAGGGTTACGTCATCCTTTGTAGTACCCGATGCCGACAGCACGCGCTCACAGGGAAACCTTCGAGAACAAAATGTCGCAGTAGCTAGCACAGTCAGCGCCTCGAGCGCGTGCAGGGACACGCTATTTTATGCGCTTCAGAACAAAAATCAAATAAGCGGTCGAAACCAAATGGCCAGATGACATCACCCTAAGCAAAGCTTACATCAAGGCACCCTAGGGAATCCATGAAACGATAACATGTTTTCATATCAGAACCTCTGGAGCCATGTTTTGTAAAGCGTTGCCGAAGTGGCTATGCAGTCAAAGCTATGGACGCACGTGCGCTTGCGTATCTTGAGCGCCTATCAAAGCTGTGCACGCGCACTCTTCACTTCATTCAAAATGATACAGAAAGTTGTCCGCGGGTATACAGGCACTTGATTAAACTATCTAAAAAAAGCGAGAGCCCTATTGCGACGACCATTGCAGAGACGGCGGTGGCTAGGGTACGCGACACCGAACAGTGGGCAGCTCTCGCTGAATTATCCTGGCTGTCGAGCGTGAAAACTCACAGTCGGCTTCGTCCATGCTGTCGCGGCTGGAAGAAGCAACTGACACTCCTCGACGAGCGTTGACGAGCTCGAGTCGTTGTCCTGCGCGCGCAGCAGCGGAATGCAGTGCCTTCTTACTGCGAAGTGCATCCTCATCGCGAAAATCGCGAGCCTTCTTTTTGTACAGCACACGGGTAGTGCTCATGGCTTCAAGCTGACGCAGCAACAGCTGATAAGATTCACCACGCACCATACGCAGCGTTTGACCTCAACAATACACCGCCTGCTGGGGCCCGCCACCTGCCTCGAACTTTTTGAGCGGGTAGGATTGGATTCCATTGGATTCTATCGGCTAGCTAAATCGAACGTTTGAATGATTAGATAGAAGAAACTTGATTATATCTATATTCTTTAAAAAGAGTGCAACTAGCGACATCTGAACTTTTTACTTTCGTTGCATGCAATGGAAGGAAAGCGCGCGCGTTTTGTCTTGTACGTTTTAAACGCCATTTTGGAGATTAAGTTTATTTTGGGTTTGTGTTTTGTTTTTTGTTGGTTCCTGACCCACGGATCCGGCCCCAACGAGTTGACCCTAAAACTAAATTCTATCGGATATTTAAAAAAAAAAAAGTTTTTTGCCAAGGTATTTATTGGTGTCAGAAGTCTACAAATTGGATATTTTGCCATATCATCACTTACATTTTTAATTAAAAAAAAAAAAAAAAGAAACGCAACTGCTCGAAACCGAAACCGGGCTGGGTAGGAAAAAGAGATGTAGAGGAGGAGAGTGTTGCGGAAGTCACGTGATTACACCGAAGCACGTTTAATTTTTTCTTTTTTGTTTTTTTGTTGTTTTTTTTGTGCGAAGCAGACAAAAAGTGCGCACGTCGCATTCCAGGAGAAGGGGCGCCGACTCGCCGACATCTTCGTGCGGATCAGCTTGGTGGTCGGACGTGTCGTACAGAATAAATCCTAATAGACTACTTCCATAAAGCCCTGCATGCAACACGGCGCGCGTTGCACTCTGGGAACTAGTTGGCCAGGGAGGAGAGTGCCCCATGGTTTCGGTTTCGATCGACACGTCGACAAGCGATTATACACAGGGCGTGGACTATAAACGGCCGTTATTTTATGTTTTCTGGTTCCGAGAGCGTCATTTGTGGTCTCTAAACTAACTTAAATGGCCAGCTCTCGAGTCTTTAGCACAAGCCCGAGACGTATAGCTTGTCTTAACGCATGCTTGTTGTATTTTTGTACTCGAGCCTTTCTGTTAGCGTTTCGAGGTATGTGGACTAACCAGTGCTGGGAATCTCTACGCGGCGAAGTTCGGGGATCTTGCTTGTGTACGAATCAACAAGCTGTAGACACCAGTAAGTATGCATACACCGAGATCGCGCCTTGACATTAGTGTTGTTGATCAGGAAGTCTGTTTGTTTCGTGCGTCCATAGACGAAATATAACTTTTTGCAATTACTGTTTTTCTTAATACGCCTGAGTACGCGAGGTAAAACTCGGAGGCGCCAATGAAGAGCTCCATTTGAACACACTTCTCATCGCTTATCTGTACTGCCCCGCAGCACTGCACGAATTCGTGAAACGCTTGTATTTGCACGAAACGCTTGCATTTCACTATTATTTAACATCGCGTAAACGCATAAAGTTATCCTGCAATCATATATGCACATTCGCACATACAAACCGTTCTAAGAAAGCAAAAGTCGAGCACTTGTGTGAAGAATGTCGCACCATTCGGTGGAAGTGCGCCGGCGGGCATGAACCCCGATGCGCCAAACGAACGAAATTATTCAAAGCGCATTTGACGTTGCTAATGGCCATAATATTTGTTATGCGTTTGCTTTCTTCCTCACTGAGTATGCCGAGATAATTTCAGACAGACCGTTCAGGCACAGATCTTGGGCGTTAGTAAAAGGTTGTCCAAAAAGGCTTAGCGAGGAGTAGGGGACGCTCGTTAGGACCTCCGTCGTAGCTAGCCGATCTCAGCGTTTGCAAAAACTTAATCTTATATTAGCATAAAATTTGAGTGTGAGGTATGTGATGACACGAGGAAGACATCATATATAGTAACTTTTGTGCAATAGTGAGGTCGAATTTATTGCGTTTCCTGAAATGCTCATGCGTCAACGCTGGGCTCAACGTTGATACTCCTGTGAGAATGCGGCTTGCTTTTCGCCCAATGAAGTAACAAGAAGCGGACGTTTGGCAAACAAAATATGTGCAAGGCTCAAGGTGACCAATTTTCAGTTGCTGTTCACTGGTACTAGACGGGATTACTGACACGAGCTCAAAGATGCACTCGTCGGGTGAGGTGGCTAAGTTACGTCTTACTAAGTTTGCATACGCAGGCACAATATTCGGTGTTGCGGGAACCAAGGAAAGTGCCCCGGGCTTCGTTTTGTATCGCTCGAAAATGGGTGTATTGTACATTCGTAGAAAGTCAGATAATCGAAAACGCAAGCAGCGCGTTTGGTCAGGACGTGATAGCATGAGATGAAGCTGCTCAGTCGAAACCGAAACTGAGTGGCCAACTAGTTCCCAGAGTGCACTGCGTGGTATTTCGCCGCGATGGGGCGCGTCGGTTTTGGAACAAGTCCATTGTTTTTATCGGTGAAAGATTTCTCTTTCGAAGCTAGACAGATTCACCGGTACCACAAACAAGTTCTGAAACAAAAGTTCTTCTTCTTTTTTTTTTTTTTTTAGCGTAATTGTAGTTTCTTAGAAGCCACAAAAATGGGTATCATTTTTTTTCTTCTATTTTTAATACTGAGTGTGTGCTTTCGATGACCCGTGACTTTGACTATATTTGGTGTGTGTGTCTAGACCACCTAAACTAGTGTCACTAAATAAGCTACGCCTCAGAGTAACGACACTTCATGGGTCCCACTGACGTCATATCGCATACTTTTGACCACCATGTAAGAGGAGGAGGGGAAGCTGCCTTTGTACGAATTTTGAGTGACGGGTTAAGCTTCTATAATCTTCTGGGAGGAGATTAGCGACGCCTGTGCAAATCCGGGAGGCTCCTGATAAGAGGGGAGCTCTTTCTTGCCCTCTTCTCTGGTGGTCATCGGAGCGCTCATTGAATGACGTCACGTGCAGCCCATGTATTGTGGTTTAACTTCATGGTTGCCAGTTATCTGAAGCTTTATCTGAAATCGCAGGAAACGCTATTCCGACAGAGTAGAGCAATATTGCATGAGCTTCCTAACACCGAATCTAGTACTGATGAATTTGCACTTTTGAATTATGACGATCGGCAATAGCGTCTGCTCTGCACAAGCACCAAAATGGCGGCGCCCACAATAGTGTCGGAGAACGGAGGGGCGACGACTCAGCGACTCCTTCGTGCAAATCGTCCTGGGGTGCTATTCTGGTCACAAACGGTCATGTTCGTGTTTCTCGAAAACTCCTCCCCCCTACGAACCGCGCGCTCCTATTGGCCACAGCCCGCGTGATAATTCCACGCGGTTCCCATGGGAACGTTCGCGAAACACGAAAGCAACTGTTTGCCGTAACTGTCACTCTTCGAGCTCGGACCGTGACGACAAAGTGACGTATGAGCACGTCCGACCTACGTAGCACATTGCGGAAGTCGCGTCACTAGATTAACTGCGGTATTACTCAACACACCCTACTCTCTGTTTCACTATGAGTGCGAGCTAGTGCGGGTGTAGGAGCTACAAGAACGTGCTCCGGGCTTTCAACGTCCCTGTCGAGCAGGCGCGCTTGCGCAGTGCAAGCCAACGTTCGTGCAAGATCGTTCGGGGCGATGCGCTCGTGCTTTTAACCTCTCTTTCTATTGCACGAAGCGGAACAAGCTTTGGGCAGGATTCTAGAGCGTAGAAAATGGCGGCGATGCTTGTTGCTCAACGATGGCTACGCGTACAATGACGGGTTTTCCCCGAGCACCCGGTTGCCTTCGCGATGCACGACGACTGTTTCTGACGACAATACCGCTTGTCGAAAAGCACCGTGTGATCGCAGTGTGACAACGAGAGACGGCGACGATGAGAGATGATGACGGTCGAGCAGCAGCTACTAATTGAATCGCACTGAGATTTTTCGCAACGGGGAACTACAAGGGCGCGGTTGCCCCCGATGATCACATAGCTAATGCCCAGTGGATGGTGATCAGAGCCTTGACGGCCGTCGTGAGTGTCGCTGTCAACCGGCTGGGAAGAGACGGTTGGGTCGACAAAACCCCGCACCGAGGCAGCTGAGGCATGTGGGAAAGAACGCTTTCGTCGCCACCATGACAAGCACACCGACGTCGTCGGGTGCGTTGACTAAACTTAGACTCTAACTAAACCTTTGTCACCGTCATCATCGGTCTGAAGGAGACCGTCACCATTCTGAAGGACTCCAACACTTTGCCGCAATCACCATTTTGCCATTAACAACATGGTGGTAAGTTGACGTTTAAACTTCAGGGTTTCTACCGCTTCGAAGTTAGTGCACGCTTAGTACCTATGTCTTTAGTTGACAATTTGTTGCGGTCTGTAGCTACTGTCAATTACGCAATAAAATCTGGATGGGTTGCTGATGGCATTTCGTTGTATCAATTAGATGTTTTACCTTTTCACGCCAAGCTGCTGGAATTGCAAGTCAGTCATCGGAAAGTTATAAGAACACTTTTCAATGTCCTGCAATAAACTACGAACAGGTCTGTCCTAAAATTAATCGTTACTTGTCTATACAGCAGCAGTTTAGTCTGACAGAGTATGGTAACATTGTTACCCACTGTAGACGAGAAATTTAGCCAGTGTCTTGTGGATGGTTGTCATCTTCGTGACCAAGAAAAACAATAAAAATAGAATTGTCCTACAGTCAACATACGTGTTATGATAGCAATTCAATAGATGGTCGTTTCAAAAGTGACAGTAACTCATTGAAATTAAAGAGTAGTGTGAGCTGGATTTTTGAAATTTGCCTGTGATGCAGAGCAAATACGCACTGTTGGCCTATCACCATCAAGCATAAACGACAAGCGGAGACAGAGTAGATGTGTGAAGGAAAAGCGAGCATATGTACAAAAAAGAAAGAACTGCTACGTAACGTGAAGAATGTCAGCAACTATCTTGCCATTGTGGTACGAGCTCAGTGGCTATGCACATGCTTATAGCAGCCTGTGAATGTAGGATGCTCCCCTTATGTGGCAAAGCCGGGGATGGGGGGGGGGGGGGGGGTTTATAGGGCTTCGCTCCTTCCCTCCCCAAATCGGCGGGCCCTAGAATATACACACAAATTCCGGAATTATCCCCCTGGCACCCCAAGTCATGAACATCCCAGCCACCTCAACCCCCCTCCATCCTCACCCCCTTAGAAGTTCCTGGCTACGCCACTACTATCAACAGCACTCAATAGATAGTCAAAATTATCAAGATAAACGAAATATCTTTTATTTTATGCACCATATAGGCAGTGTTTTTGTCTTTATATGCATGCAGCCAAAGCACACACTGTAGAAAACACT